TCTCGACTGGTCCGTGGGACCCCGCCTCCCGCCCGCGCCACCGCCCGGCCGTCCTCGGCGCCCTCCCTCCCAGCGCTCTGCTGGGCCCGGTGGCGGCTTCGCTTCCTCGGGGTGAAAGGGGCAGGAGAGGGGGATACTGAGCGACCCACGGGATTTCCCCTCCCCTCCCTACTTCCTCCTTCATGTGCTGGGTCGCGGACCTAGGGAGGCTTTCCCTAGAGATGGCGGACTTTAAGTGGCTGATCATCCCTGCCACTACCCCACCTCTCTCCGGTTTTACAGAGAAGAAACCTGAAGCCGAGATGGGACTTTTGACATAAGTCCCTTCACCGCCTCCATGCTGCCTACCAAAAAAAAGAGCTTTTAGTTTTCCAGAATATTTCATCAGTAACATTCCATTTGGCCCTCACAACACTCAGTGTGGTAGGAGGGACGGTTACTATTTATATTTTACAGGTGAAAACCAAGAGCCTCCAAAGAGGCTTGTCCAAGGGGCAGAATGGAGACCTAGAAGGTGGTGCACAGATCCTTTTCCCTGGAGTCCTCCCCACTGACAGACCTCTTAACGCCTTTTTTTTTTTTTTTTATTTCTGGGCAATCTGGGGGAGAGAAGAGGCCCAGGCTCAAAGGCCTGGAGTTCGTGGGAGGAAATGTTCCCCTAAGACTTCCTGTTGAAGATCTGCCTCTGCTTTGCTGCAGAGCCTGCCTGCTGTGGTCAGAGCCTTGCAGATGCCACGGTGGCTGGGGGGAGGGTGCAGCACGGACAGGGAGCGGAAACCAGTGAGCTGGCACCAAAACTGCAGGACTCCTTCAAGGGGTCTCAGTTCTGACTCATTTGCAGGATAGATAGGCCGTTGTCTGCGGCGAACCCACTGTCTGTTTTTTTTTGTTTTTTGTTTTCGCGGTACGCGGGCCTCTCACCGCTGCGGCCTCTCCCGTTGCGGAGCACAAGCTCCGGACGCGCAGGCTCAGCGGCCATGGCTCACGGGCCCAGCCGCTCCGCGGCACGTGGGATACTCCCGGACCGGGGCACGAACCCGTGTCCCCTGCGTTGGCAGGCGGACTCCCAACCACTGCGCCACCAGGGAAGCCCTCACTGTCTGTTTTTTGAGTTCCACTCCTAGAAGGAGAGTTTGCCTCATGTAGGAGTCTGGTATGGAGATGTGGGAGCTCCATAAAGGCATTTAGGAAAAGAATAAAGTCCTAATTAGAGAGGAGACAGGAATGGCTCAGCCATAATCTAATTCCATCTATCTTTCTTGAAGGGGCAGCCAGAGCCCCTGACGTGCTTGGTCACATGACCTTGGGCAGTAATAACTTACAGCCACCGTTTTTTTTTTTAATTTTATTTATTTTTCATTTTTGGCTGCATTGGGTCTTCCTACTGCACATGGGCTTTTTCTAGTTGCGGCGAGTGGGGGCTAATCTTCGTTGTGGTGTGTGGGCTTCTCATTGCTGTGGCTTCTCTTGTTACGGAGCACGGGGCTCTAGGCGCACGGGCTTCAGTAGCTGTGGCACGCAGGCTCTAGAGCACAGGTTCAGTAGTTGTGGTGCACGGGCTTAGTTGCTCCGCAGCACGTGGGAACTTCCCGGACCAGGGATCGAACCCATGTCCCCTGCAGTGGCAGGCAGATTCCCAACCACTGAGCCACCAGGGAAGCCCCACAACCCCTTTTAAGGAGATAGCTTTAGATCCCTTTTAGGATGAGGAAGCTGACTACCTTAGGTAACTTGCTTAGGTCACATAGCTAAGCAGTGGTAGACCAGGATTCAAACCCAGGCCTATCTCATTCTAAAACCAATGTTCTTCGTACTCCTCGGCCATGCAGTATTTGTTTTGTTTTTAAAATTTTATTGCAGTACAGTTGATTTACAATGTTGTTTTAGTTTCAGGTGTACAGAAAAGTGGTTCAGTTATACACATACATATATCCATTCCCTTTCAGATTCTTTTCCCATATAGGTAATTACAGAATACTGAGTAGAGTTCCATGTGCTATACAGTAGGTCTTTGTTGGTTATCTATTTTATATATGTAATATATATGTATAATCCCAAGCTCCTAATTTATCCCTCCCCTCCCCGACATTTCCCCTTTGGTAACCATCATGCACTATTGTTTTTTCACCAGGGAAATTAGGTGTTCCTTGACAATCTTGTATCCCCGACATTGGTCTGAGTACCTGAGACCAAGGGATGGTCTGGAGGTAGTGCATGCTTCTTTTTTTTTTTTTTTTAAATACTTATTTATTTATTTGGCTGTGCCGGGTCTTAGTTGCGGCATGTAGGATCTTCGTTTTGGCATGTGGAATTTTTGTTGTTGTTGTTGTTGTGACATGCAGGATCTTTAGTTGCGGTATACGGGATCTTTTAGTTGCGGCATGTGGATGTAGTTCCCTGAGCAGGGATCGAACCCGGGCCCCCTGAATTGGGAGCACGGAGTCTTAACCACTGGACCACCAGGGAAGTTCCTTTGTGCGTACTTGTTAGTACCAATAAAATTTTGGTTCGCACGATCTTTGCTCTTCTCTCAGTTTACCTAGACTGAACAGGAGTTACTTTTTCTTTCTGCAAGTTTCTGTGTGCCCTGCCCTCTAGTGGTTTTGACTTGCAATGCAGCAATGACCTTGAGTGTAACTAACCTTATCTCTTACAGTTCTTTCCATCCCTTAAACAGGGATGTCCTTGCAATACTGGGCACTGGTGCCCTAAGATTTCTGGGGTACTGACACCTTCCCCAGTCTGAGCCCTAAAACCATGGTTTTTCAAACTTTATTATGTACTTCTGATTGAGACGCTGGAATCTGATTTGTTTTTGGGGGGGGAAATCTGAATTTTTAACAAGCACTAGATAATTCTGATGCAGGCAATCTGCAGTCCACATCTTGAGATCTAATGTTCTGTAACAGCTCCATTCCCAAGTGCTCCCTGAATCCCAACCCAAGCACACTTGGGCTTTAGGGAATCTGGTACCAAATTAGTCACTCCCCTTCACCAAACTCGGTATTGAGTTTCTGGGAAGTCATGGCTTGGAGGGTCAGGGAGGGAAGCTGCAGCAGCCCCAGCAGTCAGCCCATGCTGAGTGAGGTTAGCTCTTGCTGATCTGGCAAGGAGAAAAGTGAAGGAAGGTAGTGTTTAGTGCACCAACTGTGGGCCAGGTACTGTGCTAGGTGTTTTCAAACATATTCCTTTCTAAAACCCTACAATAAGCCATGAGTTTATTATTCATTCAATTTTGTAGATGAGGAAATTGAGGCTCAGAGATGTTAAGTATCTTCATCAAGCTCGCAGCTGGTAACAGTTGGAATTTGAATCCAAGTTTGTCTAACTCAGTGGTTCTCAATTGGGGGCGATTTTGGCCCCCAGGGGCCATTTGGTCATGTCTGGTGACCATTTTGATCGTCGTGGGGGGGTGCTAAAGGCATCTAGTGGCCCAGGGCTACCGCTAAACAAGCTACTATGTACAGGACAGCCGCCACAAGAAATTAGCCAGCGCAAAATGTCAATAGTGCTGTGATTGAGAAACCCTGGACTCAAAGCCTGTGCTTTTGCCCTATAGGGTGGGAGGGTGGGGACATGGAAAGTTAGAACAAAATGGGAAAGGGCCTACCCCAAGGGCCTTGGGTGAGAAGGAAATGGGACTTTTATGCTAAGGATAATGGAGAATGGGGGCAGCTGGTGAGATTTCTCTTTCTTCCAAGCTTGGCCAAGACCCTGCTCAGTTTCTCCCAACCTTGCCAAGTCAGTCCTGGGACTTCACACTAATCTTGTCCTGGAGTGACCCCGACTCCCAACTCAGGGCTGGGGCAAAATATTTACCTGAGTCTTCTGGCACAGGACTTCCCAGCCAAAGCCCCTGGTTCCTGGGGCCCTTGTGCTCCACCTGTAGCCCCTGGGAGGCCCCACATTAACACCTTTGCAGTGGGGGGTGAAAGTGTAAAACATGGAGCCGTGGAGGGCCAGGAGGTGTCTATGAACAGTTAGAAGTGGAGTAATGGGCAAAGCCAGGAGGATTCCCTTAGCAGGGCCCTCTCTCTTGAGCAGGAAGTAGGGAGCAGCTGGCCTGGGGAGCAGGGTTCTGACCCGGAGGAGGCTTGTTTCCACAGCCATTCCTCTTCTCTAGGCTTGGTCCTCAGCTTCACTGGACCTTCCCCAGTACCCATTCCTAGAGCACCCACACAGCCAGGCAGCCACCACTCTGGGCCTCCCCAGTACTGGCCTCCCAACTAGACCAGGGTAGGGCGGGCCTGAGCAGACAGTGCCGACAGGAAATACCTCTCGTTCCAGGCTCAGAGCCTCTGAAGAACTAACCAGCAGATTGGGGGAGGGAGAGGGAGGAGAGAAGAGGGAGGGAGGAGAAGGGGGGCAGGGGAGGGAGACAGTCTTGGAGTGAGAGGGAAGAGGAAAGAACACTCAAACAGGTCCCCCATATTTGGGGTTTCATCTCCTTCCTTCCCTCACCACCCATGGGGGGGGTGGGGATAAAGGGATAAAGGAGGGCAGAACTGGAGAAGGATGTGGTAACAGCTGATTCGTCCCCTGAGGTCACACTTCCCAACAATCAGCTGTTACTGGGGTGGAAGGCAGGAAGTTTCCTTAAAGGCACAACGTTCTGAACACAGGTTCGGCATTCTGGAGCTCCTAGGAGCCATAGCAATCACTTGGTGGAGCCCCTCTTTAAAACGGAAGCAACTATCTCACACTCCAGGCTGTTATCTTCACCCCGCCAATTGGGAGCTTATGGAAAAGTCATGGATCCCTCGCCACACGTTCCTCTTTGGTGGTGGTGGAGAGATGCGAGTGATTGAGGTGGGGTGGGTCTCAGGCTTGCCCCTTTAACTAAGCGGTTCGGCAGCTTTTGCCAAGTCATTGGGTTCCTTTCCATTTTTTGTGTTTTTTTTTCCCCCTTTGGCCCATCCTCCCGCCCCTCTATGCTCTGATTGGCCTCTGGGGAAGGACCAGCCTCCTCATTGGTCTCCACCTTTGAAATCTCTTCCCTAAGTAGGCCTGAGTCGGTGAAAAGCTTCTGGGGGGCGGGACAGAATGGGGGTATTGGGCAGAGGACGGGGTTGCTAGCCAGTTGCACTTTGGCCCGGCCCGGGCCCTAGTTGCTGACCACAAGTCTTCCTTCTACCCTCAGGTGAAGACTCTGCTATAAATCTTTCGTTAGGAAGCTGCTGCTTGAGAGGCTTTGTCTCTCTGTGACTGGGGCGAGACATCTTCTACCCGAAGTCTCCTCTGATTAGGAAGGCTCCAGGAGAGGTGGAGTAGATCTCTCCATTGAAAGCTGGGGCCAGCCGAGGTGGGCAGTCCTCCCTCCCCCAAAAGCCCCCAGGAGTCCTCATTCCAAAGGAAGAGTCTGGCTGCCCTGGGGGCTGATTTCCACCTTCAGTTCTCCTCACTCCTGCTGCCTCTCCTCCTCCACCTTTCCTGAGAGATCTATCGCCTCCTGCAAGAGTTCAGTGAATCCGTTTGGGGGCTGTCTAAAAGAACCACTCACGGCTCCGAAAAGGAGGGGCTGTAGCCCTTTAAGGACCTCGCCGGGATGGATTCAGAGATGAGTTTAAAAATGCCAACTCACAGAGCGCGCTGGATTCTGGGAACGAGGTGTCAGACCGAGAACTACACTGACCAGTATGCACTGCAAACACACACGCCTTTACTTCCTTCTGCTTTTTAGGACTCGGGTTTGACGTAGCGCCCCTCTAAGCATGTTAGCCTAGGCGGAGGGCTGAGCCACACCTTTTCACCTATTGGCCAGCTCGCAACTTGGTGGGCGTGGCCTAGCGCTACTCTACTAGGCAAAGGGGTGGCTTCCTTGCCAGTCAGAGCTAAGACGGTCGGGGAGGCGGGACCAGGGCTAAGCGCTGGCGCCCTCGAGTGGGTGTGGTCACGCTGCCCAGCAGTGGGCGGTGATTGGCCCTGGGCGGTGCAATCGCAGCTTGTGCGTCACGACGCCGCCAGCTGATCGCAGACTGTAGCCGGTGTGTGCTGGGCGCTGGGAAGAGACAGCGCCGCCGGCCGTGGGGATCGGACGCACTGATTTGCTCCCCTACCCTCAGCACCCCCCCCACCCAGCACCAGGTGGGTGTGAGATGGGGTCCCGGCCGCACAGGAGGGAACCATGCTAACGGGGTAATGGGGGAAAGTAGGGTCCTGACGGCCACACCCTGCCCTTCCGGGGGAGGGGAGAGGGGGCGGCGGAGGCTCGGGCGCTCCGGGGGAGAGGGGCCTGGACTGGCTGGAGTAGTGTGTCAGGAGGTTTAAAGAAGGAGTCCGGGACAGTAGTCGTGCGGAGGGTTTTGCGGAGTAGCTGGGAGAAAGACGAGGGGCCGGAGCGCTGGGGGCGGCTAACCTCGGCGCCCTCTGGTCGAGGATACGGGAGCCGGCCTCCCAGCTTGGGGAGGATTTGGACTGGGCGGGTAGCGGGGAGGTGCTTTGCCTCTACCGGCACTCATTGGGTCAGGGCCAGTTGAGCGCCCTGGCAGGGAAGGGGTCTCTGGGCGGGCCGGCCCCTCCTCTCGTTCCCTCCAGGGGATGTTATGTAAGGGGGGAGGGGAGAGGAGTAGGGGGCGGCGGTGCGGGGGGGGCCTTATGCAACCCAAAGGTTAGGGTTTCACCGCGGGTTGGTGGGGGGAGAAGGCAGGAGGAGAGCCTGGAAACTCTAACCCCCCCCTCCCCAGCCTAACTGGCCGTCTTGGGCCGAGAGAAGGTCACCTCTGCACCTCCCCCCAGCCTGTCCGGTTGTGGGGCCCCTAGCCCAGGCCTGGCCCTGACCGCCTGGGAAGCCGGCTGGCTGGGTGGGGCGCCTGGGTTAGTCATCACTGGGCTCCCTCTCTCCCCACCTCTCGGCCAACTCTTGGCCCCTCCCCGTGGCCTCTGGCTAGGCTATTGCCCCCACCTCCCTTCGGCTGTAGTTCCAGCCTCCAACTCATTTGGCCTGTCATCCTGGCTGTTAGACTGGGCTAGGAGCTGTCAGGGGGCCAAAGGGCTGATGGAGCAGCTGGTCAGAGGGTCAGTGCCCTGGGCCCACCCCGCCCTGCAGCCAAGGGCACCTGCTTGGCACAGACTCTCAGCAGCAACTGAGTCCTATGGGCTGAACAGAGCCTGCTCAGACAGAGAGGAGTGGGAAGGAGTTGGACTGGTCACCTGGGAGAAGGAAGATACCACAAAGTTCATGCCTCCCAAGAGGGTTTTGTAATTTGAAAACCTCCCACCCTAATCTTTCTTACCCTCGGAGTATAGAAATCTCAAGGCAGGACCGCCTTGGCTCCTTAAACTGGCATGGGCCATGCCCTCGGACTAAGTGTCAGCACAGACCCACCCTCCCGAGCTCACAGCCCTCAAAGCCTGCCACACCCCCAGCCCCCTCCCTGGGCCATGCTGCAGGGCCCGGCTTTTCCTGCTGATTCATGCGTTGGAACTGTGGGGGCGGGGCTTGGAACTTGGAACAAAGTTCAGTCATGGAGGGGACGGCAGACAGCCTGGAATTCATACCAGATGTACCCGGAACGTGCAAGCGGAATGCCTGGCATTTAAGAGTCCTGGGGAAGCTGCCCAACCACCCTGCCCTACCTCCCTCCCCTCCAGCCTCTGGTCCCCTGTCCTTTCCTCACAGTCCCAGGAGCCTCTGCTGACCTTCTTCCAAACTCTAGACCTCCTCCCTTCCTCACTCTTCCCCAGATGTAAGCCCCCCAAAACTCTTCTTCCAGCTGAACTCCCTGGGACCAAGTCAGTTGGGCTGATCCCTGAACTCGCATTTCTGGATCTGAGGTACAACTTCTCACCTAATACCTGGGTGACTGGTGAGGTGTGTCCAGGCTCCCAAGTCCTGCCCTCTCAGTGCTGAGGAGGCTGGGGGCCCCTGTGGGTAGCTGGGGCAAGAGGGGGTGGTGGTGAGAGCAGATATGGGTTTCTACAGCCTTCAGTTCTGGAAAGAGGAGCAAGGAAATAGGTTTAGAGCTGCCTCTTGTCTCTCACTGAGGAGCTCAGGTCAGAGCCAAGAACCCTTTATTAGAAGGTTGACCATCTTCTGGGGCTGCACTTTGATGGCCAGGGCAACAGTGTCCCTGTGACATGGCCCTGCTCAGATCTTCCCCATTTTTCCTTCCTTTCCCTTTAGGCACCTGTACCTCCCACATCCTCACCTGGCTGAGCCGCAGTAGTTCTTCAGTGGCAAGCTTTATGTCCTGACCCAGCTAAAGCTGCCAGTTGAAGAACTGTTGCCCTCTGCCCCTGGCTTCGAGGAGGAGGAGGAAGAAGAGAAGGAGCTGCCTTCCCCTCATCTGGAAGGTGACAGAACTGGGTCTGGGAAGGTCTGAACAGCGAGCGTGATGATACCTTTGGGAAAGGGAACCCTATTCAGCTGGAGAACCTTCACCCAGATTGAGCCAGCAGGAGAGAAAATTTCAGATTAGAGACCTTGGCTGAATTGGGGAATAGATGGCTCTGACTACACCCAAGGTTAGTTGGTCTCTGTGTGACAATGGGAAGAAGTGGAGCAAAGAAAACCCTGCCCACCCCTTTACCTAGATGTCTTTCCTGACCCTCCTTCCTTCCTCGTCCCTCCTCCTTTCCTACTGGCCTTTCCAAGTTCAAAAGTAAGTTTCCTCTTCAGGGAAAAGGTCATACTGAGACTCCCATCTAAGTAGTCATCCCCCTGCTCTTAATTTTTCCCCGTATTTCCTTAGTCTGGCCCAGACTCTAGATTCAGGGATACTTACCTCTATGTGAGACCCTTAGACCGCCTGTCTCATCTTCCCCCTTCTCATCTGTGAGGTGGGGAATCACACAGTTGAGCATGCGTGAGGGAATCAGAAGCCCACTTGTGTGGACTCAGAGCCTGGGCTCTCCTCCACAGTGGGTGGGAACAAAACAGCTTTTCACATAAGCTGTTGCCCTTCCCCCATCCCTGACCAGAACCCCAGGAGCTGGGGGTGGAGGTTGGAGGGAGGGACTAGGGTTAGACCAATGCAAGGGGCTGCTGGGAAATCAGTCTCTGCATTGACTTCCCACCAATCAAAGGTGGCCCAGGCTTCCCCTGCCTCCCAAAGCAGGGCTGCAGCCCCTGATGGGTTCCAGCTGCCACTGCTCTCTTCCCCCACTCACTTTTCCAGGATAGTGTGTGAGATTTAGCTCAGGCCTGTGCACGCTGGAAATTCTCCCCTCCAGCAACCAGGAGAGATAGGTTATGGCATGTAATCCCTTTAGGGGCATCAGGCAGAGTAAACTTGCCGCCCCCAGCTCCTGATCTAATGTCACTCTAAGGCTCAGGCTCTGGTGTGGTTCAGCCTTGGCCCAGTCTCCCTGTCTGAAGGTGACCAAGTTCAGGGGTTACAGGAAGCTGTTTGTTCCGTGTGGGGGCAGAAGTTGTGCAGGGAGCTGGGTCCTATTCTCCATTTATGAGAAACAGATTTAGGGCAGAGTAGATCACTGAACCCACCCTTCTGCAGCCTAAGCTGGATGTGTGTGGGACTGCGGTAGAGGGGGGTGGGTAGACTGAGTCCACTCATAGGTTGCCACAAGGGTCGCTCTGTCCCTAGACATTGCTTCCATCCTTTCTGCCCCTCCTCGCTTCACTGGTCACAGTGTCTCCCTCCAGCCTTGGGTATGTGGCTCTGCCATCCTCACCCATCATGGAGCAGAAATGAGGAAGAGCAGCCTGGGAACACAGAGGCAGGCAGAAGACTAGTGAAGGACCAGGCCTGGAGAGCACAGGGCCCTGTCTGGACATCTGCTGAGGGGGGCCCATAGAGGCCAGGAGAGCCCCAGGAGGAGGGAGAACGGCCAGCCTCCATCGAGGACAAGCTTCCAGCCATCTACTTCATTCTCCGTTGCTCTCCAGTCGTTCTGCCTCCCTCAGAGATGTGGGACCATGTTAAAGCGTCCTTGGCTTCATCCTGCTGCTTCCACCTCTCCCCACCATGTAATTTAGCTGTGAAAGGACATATGCAGAAAATTCTTAAAAGAAATTCAAATGGATTTGAATGTGTGGGAAAAAATGTGTGCTTCATTAGTAATTAAAGAGAGGCAAATATAGCTGAAAGCATTTTTCCCGTAGCAAACTATAACAGAAAAAAATAAGACCCAGTTATTGGCAAAGGAGTACTAAAATAACACTCTGTACATTGCATATGGGCGTACAAATTGGTACAGCCTTACTGATGTCAGTTTGGTAATATGTATCAAACATCCTAAAAGTTTCCATGGCCTTTGACCTAGTAATTCTACATTTGGGAATTTATCCTAAGGAAATAAGTAAAGATTAGTTTAAATGATGTTCATCCCAGCATTGCAGTAGAGAAAAATGAGAAGCAACTATCTGGTTGGGAATTGATTTCTTTTCTGCTATAATTGAAATTTGCAAGAGGGGGTTGCTTAAGTAAATTATTGTATATCCATCCGGATGGTGGGGTGGAGTGCTGTGCAGCCATTAAAAGTCACATAGAAGAACATTTGACTGGAAAGAAAAATGCTCCTTGAACATTAAAAAGGTTATAAAAATGGTGTATATTATGTGATCTCAATTTTGTTTTTATACATAAAACAGTCTGAAAAAGACTGACGACATACTCCAAATTGTTAATAATAGTAGTTACCTTTGAATGATGGAATAAAATAGTTGTAATTTTTCTGTTTGGTTTTCTGTAGTTGCCAAATTTTCTACATTAATTGTGTATGACTTCCATATAATAAAATTTAAAAGAATCAGTGTAGGGCTTCCCTGGTGGCGCAGTGGTTGAGAGTCCGCCTGCCGATGCGGGGGACATGGGTTCGTGCCCCGGTCCGGGAATATCCCACATGCCACGGAGCGGCTGGGCCCGTGAGCCATGGCCACTGAGCCTGCGCGTCTGGAGCCTGTGCTCCGCAATGGGAGAGACCACAACAGTGAGAGGCCTGCGTACCGCAAAAATAAATAAATAAATAAAGAATCAGTGTAATTTTTAAAACTTTTGGAGAGGTGGGTGTGGAAGAAATGAAGGGATGCCCCCAGCCCCATTCGTTTAATGGGGTTTTGGTGGAGGAGGAGGGTTGTGAGAACGTTTGGGGGAGCACCTATTCGTTTATGAATTTTATTCTTTGGGAGTGGCTGGAATCCACCCTCTCCTGTACAGGGAACAGCTCTCTGAATTGGTGACAGCCATCTAAAGAGGTGTGGAGTGGAGTAAGACAGAAGGAAAACAAGTAAAAACCTGTCAGTCTTCAGGAGAGGGAAATCTCCCCGCCCCCAAGGCCGAAAGGTTCTAGAATCCTAACAGTCCTGTCTCTAAAAGCAAGATGGGTCTTTGTTTTTCTCTTTGATTCTGCCCCAATCTTGAGGTGACCCTGTGTGAGCTCTCCTTGCCTCCTCAGATTGGAAGAGATACTCACTTTCCCCCTAACAGGTACCAAGCCCTGGGGGAGGGGTGCTTTTCAAGGCTATAGGGCTGAGTGGTTCCTTTTTGCCTCCCCTTCCTAGTAATAAGGCTCCTCTGGAAGGCCCCCAAAAGAGCTTAGGGGAGGAGCCCCGGTGGGTCGCTTCTGCAAAATGGGAGCTGTTGTTCCCTATGAGAGGTACTATGTAAGGGCGCAGGACACCTGGAGTTACGGGGTTGCTGGGATATGTTAAAGGTCTGGAAACCTCGTTAAGTGGTGGCTCTAAGGAAGTGAGCTGCCCCCTTCCCCACAACCGAGACCGGGGTGGGGCGCGGGGCAGACTGGTGGCGAGGCGTAAGCACGTGGGAGTGGGTTTGCTCTGGCCTCTAACTTCAGGGCTGCGTGGGTGGGGTGGGTCGGAAGAGCAGCAGGTGAAAGGTTAGAGAGGGGAAAGGAGGGGAAAGTTAATGGGGCTGGGCCTCTGGGAGTGTCAGGTGAGATTAGTCACCCATTTCTGGATTTGCGAGGACTTCGGGACACATGGGGCTTGGGAAGACCCCTATCGACATCCCGGAAAGCCTCCCTGAGCTCCGTTTCAGGGTTTGGTCCCGGGAAGCCCCCTACCAGACATCCCCCGCTGGGGCGGGACACGATCGGTTGCTGTGGCTCCAGGGGCGGTGGCCCACGGCTGCTCCAATCACCACCCAGCCGGGGGTTGGGGGCGTGGACGAGCCCTGGAAAAGTTAAGGCGGAATCCGTAGGCGGGGCGGGCGGGGGAGTCCAGGGGTGCAGCCTTGCCGGGAAGCTGGTTCGCAGTCCCCGCAGGGGGCGTTGGATGTGTCGGGACTGAGAGCTCAGGAGCCCAAGGGACGGATCCGGACCTAGCCAGCCCGCCAGGCCATGGCGCCCTCTGGGCTCCTCGTGACCGGCGCCTCCTTCGCCGCCTTCCGGGGGCTGCACTGGGGGCTGCAGCTTCTGCCCACGCCGGGATCTGCTGCCCAGGACCGTTGGAAGTGGCGGAACATCTGTGTCTCCCTGGTTCACAGCCTGCTTACGGGGGTCGGAGCGCTACTCGGGTGCGGGGCTTAGAGGTTTGGGAGGCACCGTGGTGAGGGTGAGAGAGAGGGGTGGAAGGCTGAGATTAGAAGACCCGGCGGCACCTTTAGAATCAATGTGAGGCCTCGAGAGTCTGAGACTGGGGTGGGGATGTAGATGCGTGGGCGGTGTGGATACGTCCACGTTAGGAGAATAAGATCTGGGTCTGCACAGACGCTGACCATGGCTCCCCCATCTCCTCCAGGCTGTCGCTGTACCCTCAGATGGCCGCCGACCCGATTCATGGCCACCCGCCCTGGGCCCTGGTGCTGGTGGCTATATCTGTGGGTGAGTCTGCAGGGAAGGCTGAACCGGTTTGGGGTGGGGGACAACCTTCCAACGGTGGGGTCTCCTTCCCTGGCCCGACCCGCGATGGGGTTAAATGTTTCTGGCGGCTTTACTGAGAGAAACTCAAGAGCTGGGAAAAGGAGGGAGTGGAGATTCCTCTCCAGACTGTACGGTGGCTTGGGGGAAGCCTAACACCACCCTCCCCTCCTTGCCCCCAGGTTATTTCCTAGCCGATGGAGCTGACATGCTGTGGAACCAGACGTTGGGCCAGGCCTGGGAACTTCTTTGTCACCATTTGGTGGTGAGACTTGGGGAGAGGCAAGACAGGAAAGGAGGGATGCCTAGCCTGGGGTCCCCAATCTCTCACCAACTTTCTGTCCTATGACTTCCCAGAGAGTCTGAGCCCTGCTGGTGCTTGATGCTCCCAACCTTAGGCTGAATTGGGGGGGGGGAGGGGATTGACTGCTGGCCACTGCTGGGAGTCTGAGCACTGTCTACGGAGATTGTATTCCCACAGGTGTGGGAAACGTTGACTATGGAGCTTTTCTGAGAAGAGGGAGCCCCAGTATAGGGCATGGGGATAGGGTGTGAAAGCACAGGAATGCAGATGAAGGGGGTGGGGTTCCGTGCAGATGCTACAGCTCCAGGGGAGACAGCCTAGGCGCCAAACCTGCTTCAATTCTATGGAAGGGTTGTTTCAAGCCCATTCAGGCCCCTACCATAAGGGTAAGCATAAGGTTGGGTTTCGGGGAGGGGTGCCACAAAATGCTTGGGAGCCTCTCTCAAGGACTGGGATATTGGAACATGATGGGTGGTAGGTCATGGAAGGTCCTCTGACCTCTGACCTTGGCTCCCCAGGTAGTGAGCTGCCTCAGCACCGCCATTCTCTCTGACCACTATGTGGGCTTCTCTGTGGTGTCTCTACTCCTGGAGCTGAACTCCACCTGCCTGCACCTACGAAAGCTGCTACTGCTTTCTCGCCAGGCCCCATCCCTGGCCTTCAGTGTGACTAGCTGGGCCACCCTGGCTACCCTGGCCCTCTTCCGCCTGGTTCCGCTGGGATGGATGAGTCTGTGGCTGATCCGGCAACACCACCAGGTACCTATTGCTCTGGTCATCCTTGGTGGAACTGGACTGGTCACTGTGGGTGCTACGAGCATCACACTGGGTGTCCGCATTTTGGTCAGTGATGTCCTGCGGTCTCGGCCCCGCCCACCCATCCCCGAGCACAAGGAAACCAAGGGCACCAGGACTTGTTGCGATGGTGAGCCTGTCACCAGGGATGATTCTACTCTCAGCCTGAAAGACTGAAGAGAAGCCTCAGGCTCCTCCTTTGCCAGTCCTGGGGGAGGTAGAACCAGGACAAGGAGATGGTGGTCTTCAATGCACTGTCCCCCAGGGGTAAGGCCTGGATTGGGTTTTCAGTATCTCAGTTCCTCTTCCAGCTAACTCCTGCATTCCTAGGATCTGAGAAGAAATGCTAATATTCATGGATGGGTGGGAACCTGAGCTATTGTTCACTGAATCCCATCATCAGTTGACCGCCCTTTCCGGCAAACTAACTCCAGAGGTATAGCCTGTGTTACCAATAAAGGGTGGCAGGATGCATGAAGCTGGATGAAAGTGCCAATGGGAACAGAGACCCTTCGCTTTAGCACAGGAACGGATGAGGAAAGATGAAGTACTACTAGGATCAGAGAGAGATCTAGTACCAAAGGGGTGGGGTTGGAGAGAAGAGAGACCTCACCTATGACCAAATTATGGCAGAGGGAGGAGGGCACAACAGGTGAACAGGTGCTATGCGTAGCCAGTAGGGTTGGACATAATGGTTGCCAAGAGACAGAAGAAATTGGACCACAACAATTGCTGGTGATATTTCTGGTTCTCAAAGTCACACTATTCTGTTTGTACTTCACCCTAGTCCTACTGTGTGCAGCATGCTCCTTTTGCTTTTTTTTAGTGTCTTCTGACCTTTTCAAAGAAAATGCAGATTCTTAGAGGAATGAGCACGGGGCTAGGTCTGTCTTCTCAGGACTGTACTGGAGTCCAGAGCCATAGCAGGAACTCAACCACCGGTTCTGGGTGCCCAGTGTAGGGTCTTCCCAGGGCCAGGCTTTCATGGAAGAACGAGGGCAGAGGCAGAAGCAGATGAGGTACGGCTTCTGCTCGGCTGCAGAGGAATTAAGGAATATCTGACTCTCTTCTGGGATTCATTTGCAAGCTCCCCTTTCTCCCCTGCTACTTCTACTGCATTTTTTTCTGTTGCACAAGACCCCTCCCTTCTTCAGGCAGAACATCCAGGTTATGGGAAGTGTAAGCAGATTAAGTTGCTATTCTACTAAACAATGGACAGAAATAGATAACCCTTAATTATCCACAGAAAAGATACATGAGCAAAAGCCAGAGACAGGAAGATGAACGCATAAAGTGGAGCTTGAGAGAGACGAAGGGAATGAAAGAAACAGACATATACTGATTGAAGGACAGACAGAAAAAGATTTGCTACAGAGACGAAGAGAGACGGAGGGCAAGACAGAATCCTTGGCAGAAACAGAGAAAGTCTGTTATAGATGCAGAGAATAACGAAAATCATAGAATTGGTTAAATGGTCATAAACAAAGAGGACAAGCAAAATGGAAATTAAGACTGACAGGAAGGGATCCCAAAGGTGGAAGGTACAGATAGTCTAGACAGTGAAACAGGGAGAGTGAGTGACAAGGAGGAACCACCAGACTCCCAGGAGACAGAGGTAATAGTGGCTGGTAGATTA